TATTCTTTGTGAACATATCCTTTGTCGCTTTCTTCTTCCCCTTCCCTTTCCCTTTCCCTTTCTCCTTGTTCGCGTCCTTCTCAGCAACCGGCATGGCTAGGATCCTAATGTTCGATCTTGCCGTAGCTCTTAATAGCGCCACATACAATTGGCCGTGCGAGAACACTGGTTTCGGCAAGTATACCCCGACGTTAGGGATAGTCTGCCCTTGCGACTTGTTAACGGTCATCGCGAAGCTGAGCCGGATAGGAAACTGCTTTTGCTTAAATTGGAAAGGGAACATCTCATCATCCGACGGGCATAAGGGTATACGAGGCAATAGTTATGAATGTTAAAAAAAGTTAGAGGCGATGGGAAAAATGTTGATGGAGAAAGAAATACTTAGAAAGGTGAAGGCCTACGTATATGTAGTAGAGCTCGTCTGAATGTTGAAGCATGTCTTGCTTTTATCACATAGCCAGGAAGCCGAGCGGGAGCACAAGAGTTGGGAGAGACTCTCACAAAAGAAACTTTCGTTATCATGAGCGGAAACTCCCGTAACTCTCACCATTAGGAGTAGAAACTCCCGTAACTCTTGCCATTAGGAACGAAAACTCCTGTAACTCTCTTATTTAGGAATAAAAAACTCTTGTCACTCCCACTCACAATTAGGAATAGAAACTCCTGCCCATAATTGACTTAACTGGTAAAAGCAATTCATGCACCGTAGTATATAATATGAGCCTAGGATTTATTTAATTTATTTAAATAAAATATGGGCCAAGCCCATATTAAATCTATCAGGATTAACTCAAATTGCGTAAGATGCCCCGGATCTAAGAATAAACTGTTACATAGCAGGAATTGAACTGCTCTATTATACATTGAATAGGTCATAAAGTGCAAGACATAGCCAGACAGATTCATAAATGACCAGTTGGCTCGTTAAACTAAATATAAAGATCACCTTGTAGAAGTTGAAGCAAAAAAATGACAGAAAAAACAGAGCTTACCTGAGCTAGAGCATATTGCACCAGATAATTGTTATTTGCAACTCCATCTGCTTGAATACAAAAGGAAAAGCAGTGCCATGTTGGCTTAGTTAAAAAAGAAAAATACAGACAAAAAACCTAAATTTATTGCAAGGATAAGAGAGAATCACCCGACAGCCAATAAGTCGATATAATAATTGCTACGGTACTGGCAATTGCTCCAGCAAGTCGAGAATTCAATTCCCTAGTTCTACTGTGGTCTCCCTGAAAACAAAAAAGTTTAATTACATGCTGAAGTATCATCAGCAAGTAATATAGCTACAAATAATGGATAACACCGCCCAGCTTTGGTAAAGTGGTAATAAAATGAAATAAAAATAGTGGATGAGCATGTCAGAATCCAGACATTTTCAGGTCCTTGACCTTGCTTTGATAAACGCTCAGCTTCAATGTCACACTTCAAGACCCTGAAGCATTCAGGTTTTTCCTCCAAAAATAAACCGTATGTGCGAACCCATGAAGAATAATCTCAAGCTGGATATAATTCTGAAATATAAAGGCAATAGATAAGAAGGAAATATGAAAGAATATTAACGATCCAAATAAAATATCAGGTTAATAAATTGAAGAAATACAAACCAACTGGGCTAGAATCATCCTTGAAGTTTGACAATTGCAAAATCCACTCTCTCTGAGTAAATAAATGTTAGAAACTCTTCGCGGAATGCAGGATCACCTTCCCGAAGAAGCCTATGGATCACTACAAGTGTTTTCAGAGCAACCTACGTAACACAAGAACTCATTAATTGTTCAAATTAGATATATTCAAGCATTGGGTTGTGCCATCTCAACTGAACTCCATCATACAATTCAAGCAAGACAAAAAAATTAACCATTAGAAAAAAGAGTTTAATCCAAGGACATAACACTACAGGGTGTCAAACAGGCTTCAAACAATCAACAGAAAAGAAGGAACCCCACAATTTAAATCATCAATTCTCAATTCAAATAAAAGCGACCACAAAAAATGCAGAATTGTGTTAAATGTAGAATATTCACTGTGCTTTTGTAAACAAGCTTAGGCCATGTTCGCTTGGAGGAATCTGGATGAATCTGGAGGAATTTGCGAGAGAGTGAACAGTGAAAACCAGCCATGTACAGTGAAATCCGGCTGGTATTCACACCAGCCGAACTGCCCCTTATTATGCTAATGCAAAGAAATTTCAACTTGGATGTATAATATCTTGATTGCAGCAGTAAATAACAAAATCCTCGGTTGCGTCTCTTTCTATTTTGTTTTCCCATGTCCAAATTAACTGGTACATATACACTCAAGCCACCAAAAGCATAGATTATAAAGGTATAACTTGTTTTGCGATTCCAGACTCAACATGATATACTATTTATATAACTATACATATGAACTCGAGCTCTCAAGTGTGCAATGACCAAGGTTCAGGTTCCCAAATCAATAGCACTGCATCCTCACTAACTGCGCATGAAACTTGGGCATTTGTCTGCATTCAATTCCACAGTGTGATCACATTTTTTAACAAACGAAATTGCATTCGAGACTCATCTATCACCCAATACCATTACAAGATCGGCACCAATTTAGCAGCTAAAGCAACCATCAGAGCATCGAATACACAGAACGAATCGAAATAATCTGAACCGGAGTGCAGGAGTGCAGTAGGTGACATCCGCCCATGGCCTCGCGATGGACGTCGCCGCCACAATCTCTGCAACACCGGCACCGACAAACCCATCAGACAGCAAACTCAAATTGAGAAAACCACAGCACTCCACAATCCGGCTAGTTCCTGAAATCAAATTAAGCAGACAAATGCTCAATCTTGAAATTCGAAATGCATAAGAAGGGAGAGGCAGCCAGGAGATGAACACGTACGCGAATGTGGCGGCGCGTCCACGGGAGGGCGGCCAAGGCATCGATCCGACTGGCGATGGCATCGATCCGATCGCCACAACGTTGATCCAGCTTGGGGAGACGAAGGGGGCGGCGCGTCAACTGGAGGGCGACTGTGTCGATGTGACTGGGGGCGGCGCCGATCCGTCCACCCCAACGCTGGTCAAGCCAGGGGAGATGAAGGGGGCGGCGCGTCGAAGGAGGGTGCCCACGGCGTCGATCTAACCGCCCCAACGTTGATCCAGCCGAGGGAGACGAAGTGAGAGAGCGGGGCATAGGGGTTCGTCCTGTTGCCCCGGGCGGCGACGCTCGCGGCGGTGAGAAGGGCGGCGACACTCGTCGACGTTTGCCGCAGCTCCTACGGCAGCGGTTCGACGATCGAGGGCGGGGGCAGTCTGACTTGGCGAGGTGCCGGTGCAGGCGCGGAGTGGTCTCCGGTGGCGACCTCCACTTATCCCACACGGCGGCGTCTCCGGCGGCGACCTCCACGTATCCCACGCGGCGGCGCGAGGGCAGGGAGGGAGAGGAGGCGTTAGGCGTGGGCGAGCGCGGAGATGAAGCGGAGGGCGGTTGCTGGAGCCACGGATTGGGGGAGATGATCGTGCGCTGGCTGGAGGATCGGGCGGGATTGGGCGAGGTGATTGCCTGATTGGCTTTCCGTTTTTACCTCCTTGCGCGCGAGCAGGAGGCGGGGATCGCAGGGGCGAGGCAGACCGATGAGGTTTGGTGTCGTACCGAATGTTTTAGTTGTATAAGACAAGAAGAGATTGAATCTGCAAGTCACTGGTTGTGGGCAGTTCCGAATGGAAAGCTGAATGCTGTGTGTAAGTTGCTGACCTTCCGCAGTTAGAAGACGGATCATCCGTTAAATTACCGCAAAACCACAGTTTAGAGGAGTTGGAGATTGTGGGCGTTCATACGTTCCTTGTGTAAAGATTCAGATCACATGAACGTCTTTGGACAATGCTAAATGATATGTCTTGTACGCATTTGGACTAGTGCCAAATGATGTCTGATCTTGGGGTTTAATCTTTGCGGTGCGATTGGTACTGCATGAGAAGGGGCATGAGAATTAATCATGGAAGTTGATGGAGGGAATTATAAGACAAGTCATGATAAATGGTGATGATGCACCCATCTTTCATTAAAAACACAATTCCTATCCAATTACCACCTCCCCCCTGGAGAATTGATTAGTAGAAGTTTGGTCTCTGAACTCTCGTTCCCTTTCCCATCAAAATTCCCACTCCCACGAATAAGTAGAAGATTTCTAAACTCTCAATCCCTTCCCTCCTTTCAATTACTTCCAACCAAATGTGTCGCTGTTCACCTGTTCTTATAATTAGAAATGCCATCTTCGTGTATCACAAAACTACCTAGCACTGTCAAAGTTCTGTTAGATAATTCAGAAACGTCTAACTTGACAATCTACAGTGATATTAGAATCATGCAAAGAACTTTGCAACCATGAGTCTACTGTGTTCACAGGTCTCGAGAACGCCCATTCCAGATTCTAGTTCTGGGTTAGATATTCATAAAAAAAAATATGTTTGAACTTCTACACTTCAATGCCACTTTGAAAACAAATGTTACAAGACTTCCTGGTCAAATTATGGAGTAGGAAAAAAAAGATGAAACACTGCAACTGCGAATGCATCTATTACAAAGAATGACAGAATGCAGCAAGCAAATTCCTTAAGAAGAAAGCACCACCACAAAGTGCTCATAAACAGAGCATAGCTTTGCACTTGCCACACAAGGAAAAGACTGGTGCTGAAAGCGGCAGTAAAACCAACCATTATACTGCTTCCAAGTTCCAACCTTCGCAATCAACATATTTGTCTCCCAAGAGGGCTTCTGTGTGCCATGCACATTCTGTTAGTAAGGGTTGATAATAATGTCTACAAATCAAGATCGCTGGAGCTCTGCACGAGCCACATGGAGACATAGCTGGTGGCAAACACATCATCTCTAACCGATGGGCTTCTCGTTCTTGGTCAACAAATATTGAGATTTTTTTAGGTTTCAGGCAGTGAAGATCACATCTTGATGCCTTGAACAAACCAAGATAATTGCTTCGAATTTTCATATGGTTCTCAAGTTCAAGGACCATCACAATGCATATCCATGGAGGGCTCAGTTAAATTGCAATTCACAGAGTCCTGATTTTGTGGCGACCGGTTGTTCCGAGGCCCATTTCCGTTGGGACATGAGTTGATGGGGCCATACCCTGAAGACTGAATCAAATGATTTGAGTGGAAATTTTGCCGTAAAGGGTCGGGAAGAGAATTTGGGACGCCAGAATTGCTTGTCTGGTCTGTTTCATCCATCCGGGAGTCAAGCGCAGCAGCTCTGTTCCCAAACGAGAAGGGATTGCATTGAACATTTGCAGAAGGGGTGCTATGTGTTTGCTGTTGGCTTGGATGCTGCGGAGATGCTACAGGATCCTCTCGGCAGTGCTCAATCTCATTCTGCGTACAGAAGAGAAAGCATCAAGGACTTGGGACATATGGATACTGCTGAAGCAGTAGCAGGAGCTACACTAAAAAGGCAACAATTTTGTCTCCAAATGAGGTCTCAAGGCCAAGATGGTTTCAATGGAAACAGGCAACAACTTTAACATTTCACTTGACAAATTATTGCTTTCTGGTGTATGTCCTGATATATGAGTCTCAATTAGACAGCATTGAGCTTACGTGTAGCGTAGCTATCATTTTACAACAGTTTCATAGTTTACTCTCAGTAGCACTTTGAAGCTTAACAAGGCACTAGCTATCATTTTACAACAGTTTCATAGTTTACTCTCAGTAGCACTTTGGAGCTTAACAAGGCACAATAAAATCCAAGTCATATTGTAGAAGATTGTGTTAGAATCACGTCTGCAGACAGATTTATTGTAACATTATGTTCTCTCTTACTAGATTCACAGATTACATTCGTAAACAGTACCTCTTATTATGCAGTGCACATATTTCAGTTCTAGCAAGTTCAACTATTGAATTCCTATCATCAGGTCAAAAGCCTAAAGTGAAAAGCCCGTGACAACATACAAATCTCTCAACACTTAATACTAGATTGGTCTGTGGTCCTTGCATATGACATATGGCATCAACTTAGTTTATCGATAAGGTTTTATAAGTGTTAGAAAAATTGGCGGAGACAAGATGTTCACATAACCTGCAAGTATGCAAGCACAGCAGCAACAGGCACCTCTGAAGCTTCTTCAAGCTGACTGGACAGCCATTGATGTACATTTTCCTGTCAAAGCTCCATGAAGAGGATTGATTAGTCAACGACACGTTCAACAGAAGTACTATTAGACAAATCCCAACAATTATGCTACTTTGTATCAATTTAAGTTTCAGAATTCAGACAGAGGCATTTGCAGAACACTTACAAGGCCCCAGCCCCTTTATTGTTCGAGGACAACCAGCCCACAAGTCTTGATTAGCTCGTGTTCTTCACTCCTAACCCATTTCAAAACTCAAAAAGAAAAAATGTACATCAATTTATCACGTTTTCCCGACTCTGCACACACCATCCAAAGATTGACACCTACTTCGGCACCCAAATTGGCTCTTTATTGTGCAGAGATCGCTGGAAAAATTGTTGACAGCAATCTATTGATATGCAATTCGTAACTCAACAACTCCACAACTATTGCGGTATAAACCCCATCTTCGATTCGGAGTAAAAGACCATTATGTCATTTAACCAGCTGTAGCATGTAAACCTGACAAACAGGTGGCACGTTTCGCCCAAATTCTGCTATCCCATTTGGTAATAATGACACTTCTTATAATTGGGAGTGGATTGAGTAATAATGAGCTCATTTGGTTCCAAACGAGTCCAGATAATAATATAGCTAATTAATAGCTAATATCCAACTAACAACTATCTCACTAGTTAGACCAAATTAAACTAGCTAGCTAATAACATTTAATAGTTAGCTAGCTAATATGAGCTATTAGCTAGATCTTTCATGAATAAGAAAATGCTCCTGTATGAGGTTACTACTTGCTGGCTTGAGTGGCACAGGCACAGCCAACAGTCCGAGTGATCTCATCCCATGCATGTGATCATGTGACCGGGTGCAGTGCTGTAGTACTGATGAATGCCTCTTTGCATTGGATACCTTAAAGAAACTCGCAGGACCTGGACGGCTTGTGGGCAGCACGTTAATCGACAACGATTCGGCCGCTGCCTGCACACCGGCATGATTCAGAGTCTATATAAAGGCTGATCTATAGCTAGCTAAAATTAGTTAAAATTAATCATAATCTATTGAAACTGGGTCTAGTCAAAATTAGTCCTAGCCTATTCAAATAGGGTCTAGTAGTTGGTGTTAACCTTAGTTAATTTGAGCTAAATTTTAACTCTAGCTGATAACTATCTCCAACTGATCAATCATGCCTTCATTCCACTTCCACCGCATCTTAGGGGGTGTTTGGTTTCTCCTCCTAAACTTTAGTCGTTGTCACATCGGATATTTGGACACATGCATGGAGTATTAAATATAGACTAATTACGAAACTAATTGCATAGTTTGTGATTAATTTGCGAGACGAATCTTTTAAGCCTAATTAGTCTATGATTTGACAACGTTGCTACAGTAAACATGTGCTAATGCTGGATTAATTAGGCTTAAAAAATCATCTCGTGAAGTACTAACGGATTATGTAATTTGCTTTTTTATTAGTATCCGAACATCTCATGCGACACCCTCATTTGATACCTCCTAAATTTTAGTCACCGGATCCCAACACTCCCTTAGTCATCCTCAGCCTTAATTATCAGCATCCTTTTCTGACCAAACAAAGTGACCCGCTGTGACTGCTAAATGGTGAGTGGTTTGGATGAGTTCTCGGTCATGTATGCAAACTGTAGGTTTTAGTTTATGTGCACTGATCTTCAGACCGTACGAGTTCAGATGCACGACAGTTTCGTCTTTGGGCGAAGGGCCTGAAAACCAGGAGACATGTTGCCGTTCCGTTTTCTCTCTGTTTGAAGAATGATGAGCATGTACGTAGTAGATCGATCGACTAAAAGATGCTCCGAATTGATGAACTTTTGAACTGCAATAAAAGTCATGTTTCTGAAAGCAACAGTTGGCGAAATTAGTAGCTCGTCAAAGCTGTCAGGCGGAATCGATCGGTCCCGACGAGTGAGCTGCGCTGGGTTTTGTCATGCTCGGAACTCTGAAGTTGACAATACTCTTAATTTTTTTATTGTTTTCCCTTTCCTTCAAAGATTGGAGTCAGAGGTACAGCTCATGGAGGAGACCTGTAAACAGACACAACAGATGTGGCGGCAGCCAAGCCAGCTAGATCCTGTGCTTGCTGTGGGTGTCCGCTGACTCAGTGTGCAGTACTAGCAGACACGGCATTCATGCGGCCTGTTCGCTAGTTGCTTTCTGGCTGATAAATCTGACCGGTGCTGGTTTGTTACGAGAGAAAGACACTGTTGGCTGGCTGATAAGCCCTAACTGAAACCAACAAGCGAACAGACTGACGGTGTTTAAATTCAGGGAGTAAAGTTTAGGGATATCACATCGGGGTGTCACATGGAAGTGTTCAGGTAGTAATAATAAAATAAATTACAGAAGTCCTCAGTAATCCGCGAGACGAATTTATTAAGTCTAATTAATCCATCATTAGTATATGTTAATGTAGCACCACATTGTCAAATCATAGACTAATTAGGCTTAAAAAATTCGTCTAGTAAATTAGTCGCAATTTATGCAATTAGTTATTTTTTATTCTATATTTAATACTTCATGCATGTGTCCAAGCATCCGATGTGACAGAAAGTAAACTTTAGAGGGAGGAACTAAAGATGACAACGGGGACCCGATCCCCGATTCCCCGTGGGGATTTCTTCCATTAGGGGATGTGGATGGTGGAGAATTGATCCCCACGGGGATGGAATTGGTAGAATTGTTGTCCCCGTCGGGGATGGCGGGGACGGGGATGGTACCCTGGTCCCCAACCCCGATCCCCGCATCCCCATTTAGCCTGAAGCAAACACCATCGAATCGCGAGAGCTGTGGGCGCAAGGCCCATGTAAGAAAAGGCCCATTAGCCAAGGAAGTATATATACGCGACTAACCCTAATTCTCACCCGGTCACCCACTCCACCAGTCCACCCGCCCCCGACCCCTATCCATCCAATCCCGACTCGAGCGGGCGCGAGAGGTGAGATCATGAGACGCGCCAGGAGACGCTGCACGCCGCCAAGACGAAGCCGAGGCGGCCACCAGCGTTTTTCGGTGGATCTTCACTCCGTCCGAGACTCTAGGCAACTCCAGTCTCCATCCTCCATCGCTCGGCCTCTCCGTCGCCCGAGAGATTGGCCAGACGTCCATCGCCACGGCACCGTCTGAGTCGACCTCGTTGGAGGCTTGGAACTCAGATTCTCGCCGCCGCAACTCGCAGGGACATGGATACACCTGGATCTGAATCTCCCATGAGCTCCGATGGAGAAGGAAGGTCAGAAACTCAGAAATCAAATCTCAGAACAATGTAAATTCGTAGTTTTGTTCATACATGTATTGCTATTGCTAGTTCTGGTTCCGTGATACATGTATTGCTAGTTCTGTTCATACGTGATACATGCATAGCTAGTTCTATTCTTATGATACATGTACATTCGTAGCACTGTTGTATTGCTAGTTTAGTTCAGTGTTTACATTTGTTCATGTCTGCGTTTTCGAATATTGACTAACCCACGTCCGGCGGTCCTCAAAGGGACGCCACCTCGGTCTTGGACCGGCCACCAAACGCCATGAGGCCGACGGCGGCGGCACGTTGCCACGCGCAGCTCGCACCCGCTAATGCATCCGCTATCATGCCGAGCGTTGCGCTTATGCCGGCATCTGGTGCCGCAAACCGAAAGGCAGTCTGTCAGGCCCCAACGCCACGGCCGAAAAGGATGTTCACCAAGACTAAAAGTCGTCTTGCGGTTGAAGGAGCTGCGCTTTGCTCCGCCATCGCAGGCTTCATCCTCGGCAATGGTCTCCAACTGTTGAAATCACTAGGGTTCGATTTCATGCATGCTACCCATTTTATGCCTTTTATTTCATAATTTCTAATTGTTCAAAGATGTGTAAATTGTTTCTCGTGATTTATGAATGATTGACTTCCTTGTATTTTTTTGATTGTGAGCATGTACTACAAGTTGCTCTTTGTAACTCTGTTTCATACTGATTAATTAAAAAAAAAAGTAGGTGTTGTATTACGCATGTAAATTTTTTATTATATATATATTTACCTTGAATCGCTACCGAGAAAGATTGCAAGAGATATTTATGCTATTCCAGTTACTACAGTTGCATTTGAATCTGCCTTTAGTACAAGTGGAAGGGTCCTTAGTGGGCATCGCAGCCGGCTCACTCCAGAGATATTGGAGGCCTTAATGTGTTCACAAGATTGACTTCGAAACAAATACAAAGGTTTATAAGTTGTTCTAATTATAAATCATCATCACTACATCTTTTTATTATCATAATTGCTAATTCATGTACTACAATTGTTTGTTTGCAAGTGACAATGAAGAAACAACCACCTTTTGGACTTGTCTTCAAGAGATACAAGATGGAATGGAGGTATTATTTGAAAATTATTAATTGACAATGCATTGTAGCTATCTTTGTTGCCAGAAAATTGAGGACTTGTTTGTCCATTGACTATTGTTGCTTCTGGTCAGATCATGTGGACTTGCACTCCTGTGAGTTTGGAGCTAGAGTCGTCTTTCTTTTGGCAAGGCATTTGAACTTCATGATGGCCAACTAGAGGTGGACTATTGTGTTCTCTTTTGTGCTGCTGTGCAGCCTGTGCTTATCTTTTGTGTTGGACACCTGGACACATATGTTGTCATGTGTATGTGCCTGTGTGTATGCTTATGTGCTGGACACCTGGAGTCCTAGACATCTATGTTGCTGGTAGATCTTTAGTTGCTGGTATGTATCAATGTATGTGACTATGTGGCTGGAGCTTGAGTGCTTGACCTGGATGCCTTGACACCTGTGTTGGCGTGTGTCTTGCTATTAAACTATGTTGCTAGATTGATTAGACTAATGAGTATCACATGATTTATGAATCTGTGATCTTTTATGAATCTATGAACCTTGCTGCTAGATTTATGCATGTGTGAATCTGTCAACCTTGCAAGATTTATGTCTGTGTATGTTGTTGTATCGGGGACGGGGATGGGGAAGGAAGGCTCCCTGTGGTTGTTCATGGGGACGGGCCAGGAAAATTCTCCCCGAGGGGGGACGGGGATGGTGGCTTATCCTCCGACGGGGAATTCCCCGTTGCCATCTTTAGGAGGAACTAAACAGGGCCTCAGAGTACGTCAGCAAATAGTCGCCCTGTTCGATTGGGCTTGTTTGGCTGATAAGCCGTGGCTGAAAGTACTGTTGGTTGATTTGGTGTGAGAGAAAAATATTATTCTTTAACTGAAAAAGTACGGCTTATAAGCCAAATAAGCCTAAGCGAACATGGTGAGTGTCCTAGCTCTCTACTTGGTGCCTACTGCTGCAAGTGCAACAGTGGTCATGGTGCTTGCTCCATTTTGTCGAGGCAGCCAGGTAGGGCCGTAGGGGAGATCAAACTTGTACAAATTAAAAGCGAGCGCTGCAAGTCTCGCCAAAGTGCATGTGTTGACTATTCCAAATAAGTGAAAACTGAGAATATATCCTGCTTATCATGATTATAAAGATTGGACGAAATGAAGCGGCCATCCCCAACTGTACGTGAATTTGCACTCTACTTTTCATGAACTACAATATATTGAACTACTTGAGTAGTACTTTTCAGCGAACGAACGGTATTTTTCTCTCACCACAAATCAGTGTAAGTATCAACATAAGTTAAATTTCAGCGAAACAAACAGGGTATTTTTCATTGGTTGAACTTATGGTAATAGATGGTTGTGCAAATTCACGTACAGTAGGGGATGGCCATCCCCTACTCTACTTTACATGAACTACAATGAACTACGACCAACACCCCACACTCCCACGTTCCCGCACTCTACTTTTCATTGGTTAGACTTATGGTAATAAATGGTTGTGCCTATGCATAAAACTCATGCAAAGTCTAGAATAGAGTAGTTGCCTTTATTGAGAAAGATAACATGTATAGATCACTTGCATTTTCCGGTTAGAAATAGAGGATCTATCTTATCTTTTTCAGAATCATAGTTGGACGGTTAATTTGGACATCGCTAGAATTTTTATTTTCCAAATTGTTGGAGGATTTGGATAGTGACAGCGATTTGTCTTTTCAAATTGCGCCACTGCCTAGAAGAGACATCACCAATAATTGGACCCTTTGCATTGTCACTACATGTAGTTTAGTTGACATTGGTGGATTCCTAGTACTTATTGTCCCCCACTCACTTGCCTTACTCTTAGCTGTTTCACCACTATTGGTGCGTGTACAGGAACTCCATGTCTACAAGGACGATGACATTGGAGCACTACTTCTCTTCCCCTCAACCTCCCCATTTCCCTAAGCTGAAGATTGATCTATTTTGTAGTGGTTAGATCGGCCCTTTCCCTTGGTTGAATGAATAGATCCCCAACAAAATTTGCACTGGATATATCCTTAGGTGTGGTGGGACAATGGTCCAGGTGTAGCCAAGGATGTGGAAGTGTGGGGTGTTGGAAGTTGTTCCTAGGCTTTTGACATGTGACAGAGGCCATGTTTGGGATGTTTTGTGCTACAGGCGGTTCTAGCAACCAGATGCTCCATGGATGGGAGTAGCTACGAGTTGATGCCCTGGTGGTTGCTGGGCTACATCAGTGGAGGGCTACAGTGGTGGAAAATGGAGGTTGAAGTTACGTACTAGTGGCCAGTTTGTTTTCTCTAACGTGGCTCTTGCACCATTAAGTATGGTGGTTGTTTATAGTCACTTCCTCTTGTGCTTGCATCCCAGGCGATTCTTTGCTCCTTGCCTAACTACTAGATCTATCCTCTCCTAGGTTCTCTTTAGATCGAAGAGAGCTAGATGGCTTGGTGCTCAGAAGTGACATCTACGGGCGGTGGTACCATGGTGGCACCCGCTTGCAAATTCAAGTTGGACGAGGGGTCATTTGGAAAAATCCCTTTTCACAATGATGATGTTGTGGGCTACACTCCCTTGTTTAGAGGCAATCGTCATGGCTACATCCCTTCTCACCACCACTCATGCCTAATGCATTGATCCCTTTGTGTGGAAACCTAGCCGACTTTATATAAATAGATAGATAAAAATAATCCCTCCATCTCTAAATAAATCAATTTCTAAAATCCATACAAGTGAAACTATCTCAAGATTAACTAAATTTATAGGAAAAGCAACAACATCTAGGATGTAAAATGAGCTTATTATGAAAATATATTTTATGGTATATTTAATTATTCTAATTTAATGTCGTAAATCTTGACATATTTTTTCTAAAAATTCGGTTAAAATTTAAAAAATTGACTTTATATAACTCTAGAAATATATTTATTCAGGTGTAGAGGAAGTAATACACAACACGTCAAACACGGGGGAAACAAGTTTTTTTTTTTGTTGTTGAGAAAACTAGGGAAACAAGTATGTCCATCTTCCTGAGCTCATTAAATTTCCAAACCGACTTGGCCAGCTAAGCCCAATCCGGTTAACATAAGTAGCCCATTGGAGCCCTAGTGTAAATCGAGAGCAAAGCCCACTTCCATGTCCACGGCAACGAAACAAGTCCATCTAGACTGTTCCTCTTCTAATTTGGCCCCATCCTCCCTCCCCGCAGCCCTCACCGCCATGGCGACCACCGAGGACTCCGCCGCCGCGGGCGAGGTCCGGCGCCTGCTCGCCCACCTCGACTCCCAGCAGCAGATCCTTGCTGACTGCCACGGCGCCTGGTCGCGCGCCCTCGCACACTTCGCCTCGCTCGAGGACCTCGCCTCCCGCTCCGCCGCACTCGAGGAAGCCCTAGCCGCCGTCGACGCTTCCACCTCCGAGTCCCTCGCGGCGCTCGAGGCCCGCGAGTCCGCCGTCCCCGCGCGCCTCGCCGCGGCCTCCGCCGCGCTCTCCGCCGCCGTCGCTGAGGCCGAGACTGAATCCACGGGGCCACCGCCCACCGACATCAAGGGCGCGCTCCGGTGGATATGCCGCCGCATGGACGCTGCTGCGCTCTGGCGCTTCATGACCGCACACCGCCGGGAGCTCGCCGTGGT